ACAAGTATGCTAGGTGCTGTTGAAAACCTAGTTAAAGGTGCGACTACTATTGCGCATGAGTTGGTGTTAGTCAAGAAACGGGTCTCTGAGCTTGAAGCAGCGAATGAAGCCGCCACGCGAAGGAGATCACACAAAAGAAAGCGGCTACAGAAAGGAGAGACCCTAACGATTGAAGAAGGAGAGAAACTGGCAACTCTAAAGGAGTCTGGGGCGCGTGGTAGTGGGAAGAAGGCAAAGAAGGGAGAGAGCGCTGAAGTAGGCGAACCGTCGCAAAGGCGCTGTAGACGCTGCGGTGAGACTGGACACAACTCGCGCACCTGCAAGCAAGATGAAGAGGTTGATTCTGAATAGATTAGCCTTTTCTAATTTCAATTTACTGTTGTTGTTGCGCTGTAATGGTTGCGCAACGGTGGTGAGGTTGATGGGGGCTTGGCATTTTCGGTCACTCGCTATTCTCGGCCACTCGCTATACTTTGACGTTACGTAACGAGTATTAGGGTTCTGCTAATACTGGGTGTGGAATAGTATATAGGCGCACGGACCTGACGATATATATCTCTCTCTCCCCTGATATAATACACATATCTTCATGACGCGTGATGAACAGCCATCTCCATACAAAACCGAACGCACTATTGTTCTTTCAAAGCAGTCGTTAGAGAAGCAACACTATGAGGCGGACAAGGTGACTGGAGAAAGTTTAGTCTTTACAGCAAATGGTAAATCAGACAAACTCTGAACTTTCTAGAGGCACTGTATAAGGATGAGATGGATCGAAGTGCGAAACAAGGTTTGAAAATTGATAGAATAGGCTCGATACCAGTGCTATCATGTCTTCATCACGCGATTTCACCCCACATACTCGCAAAAGGGACAAATCATGCAGGAGACGACATTGCTCATATTCACACACGTTCTACTCAATCCAACATTCCACCCATTTCCTTTTCTACTAAGGTGGGGGGTTTTCTTTTCACTGCTTCACGCCCTCCACCATCTTGCACATTTGATATTCCGCTTTAAAAAAAACCGTTAACAGCCCTTACTTACTCGCCTCCAGCACATTGCGCTCCACGCCACCCAGCGCCTCGCGCACGTTGGGCGCAAAGTGTTTTCTGAGAATCTCGCCTTCCCAGACGGTGCCGGCGAACGGGTTGCTGCCCTCGATTTCCGGTTTGAGCGGATCAAACACGCCGTCGCCGCGCCTTTCTTCGGTGTTCCACAGCGGAGCTACTTTCTTTCCGTGCGTCTTTGTGACGCGGTTCAGGAGGCCGAGCATGGCGGTGCAGGATTTCTCGGGTAGGTGCATGGAGATGGTCATGAGTTGCTTTGCAAAGGCCGCGACGCGAAGAGGGGGGACGGCGCGGATCGAAGTGACGGGTAGGAGGACCGAAGAAAGCGAGCGGATCAACAGGACAATGGTGGTTTGGACATTGATTTTGACCGTGTCGGCATGTGATGTTCCGACGTTGGGGTCAGCCAGGTGCAGTGATTTCGAGCTGAGTTCAATGTCCGGATTCAGCGCAACAGGGTGTAGTGTACGGTAGAGATGGGTGATGAAATAGCTGAGGTCAAGTTTGAGAGCTGATGCTGTTTTCGCACCTTCTTGGCCTTCAAGAAGGGCGAAAGCTGTGATGACGCAAAGGAGGGATTCGCGCGTAAGATTGCGCTCTGGCATCTCGTTGTCGTCCTCTTCATCAGAAGCGTCGTCGTCTTCAGCCGCGGCGGCTGCTGTAAGTTCAGCTGTCGCGATGATGTCTCGTAGGGCCTCCAGGATATCACCAAAGAAGTCCTGGTTGATCAGATGTGCGTATCGTGCCAGTCCTTCCAGTACGGCACCCATGAGCTTCGCTGAGCGCGCCTTGAGAATCCTGAAGTATGCCACAAAGACCATCTTGAGTGTCTCGGCCTGCATCCGGTCGCGCTCCTCGTGACTAACAGCAGCATCGGCCTCCTTGAACTCCTTTTCGATTGCCTTTTTCTCCTTCAACTCTTTCCGCAGTCTCTTGGTCCTGAATTCGCGCTTCTGCTTCAGCCTTTTGCCGTTGACGGTAGGCTCTTCGGCCTTATCAACAGAATGGTATGAAGCCTTTTGCGCAAACTCGGACAGCAAACGAAGATGCAAAAACGTGTTGAGAACACTCTCGTCAAAGTGGTAATTCCGGCTCTTCATCATCTTGGTCAACATGGTAACACCCTCTAATGAAGCATTGCCATCCTCGTCATTCTCAAACAGCGTCTCCAGGGCCTCTCTACACCGCACAAAATCGCCATCGACTTTCCTTGTACTCAGCTTGCCGACCATGATCTTGAGAAGCTCACTGCGAAAGTTGAAGTGTGGCACCGAATTGAGCAGGTTGCATGCGCAGCTCACGGCCACCGATGCCAGGCTCGCAACCTGCTCCTTGTCCGACCCGCTCGACTTTGCCAGTTTCGCCAGATGCTTGACATACGTCTCATATCCCGACACGAGCTTCTGCTCGAATTGGCGTAGCTTCTTGACTTCCTTTGAGATCTTCTCCTGCATCTTTTCTTCCGATAGCGGCCGTATTCTGTAGCCGGGGATGATGTCCTTGAATATCGAGACCTGCGTCGCCAATGCCAATTTTTTGACCGTGAAGTTTTCCGAGTCTGCAAGCGCTTGCAATGTCTTCAGCGCTGAAATGTGTTCCTCTGGATCCTCGTTGATTAGACTTGCTATCCGAGCAAGCTCTTCCTTGGCCTCTAGTATCTGTTGTCGCGCAGGTATCTTTGGCTTCTGCTCCTCGACCTCCTCATCCTCGTCATCCTCAGCGGCATCGTCCCCTTCATTCTCGCTTCCGGTGCCCAGAAAACTGTCCGAGTCGTCTTCCTCTTTAACGTCCTGCGCAGTAGGCTCCGGCGCGACCCAGCCTTCGGTTGTCCTGACGGGCAATTTCTTGTTCTCCTTCTGTTTCTTCAGTTTGCGCGGCCGCGTTTCGTAGTCCTGCTCAAGATCCCATTTCGCGGCATTCTTCATAAACGATGCTTTGTGATCGACCGTCGTTCCGTTCGCGGGCTCTCCATCTTCTGGCGGCGAGAGTCTTCTTCGCTTGGCAGCCGGAACACGAGACATGGTGCGGGGTATGCAAAATCAGAGAGAGAAAATAAAAAGAAGAGGGCTCTGGAGAACTCCCGCACCCGTGTTGGTGGTTGTCGCAGTTGCAAAAGCAGGCCGCTCAGGAAATTTTGGCCGCGGCGGAGACTAGCCCGCTTCCGCTCCACATTTTTTTTGGGCAAGCAGATCTCGACTTTGCGACTTGCGCCAGCCAGCACAGCTCAGCTTCCCTCCCAAAACTCAACCGTCCGAACTGCAAACATGAGGCCGCTTACAGAACCCGAGACCAAGACGCTCTTCGAGAAGCTCGCCTCGTACTGTGGAAAGGGCATCACAAACCTCATTGCCGATCCTGCTGGCGGCTCAGATCGCAATGTCTTCCGCGTGCAGGTAAGGAAGAAACGGCTCTCTGCACCCATCATCCCAAGATTGGCTTCCCTCTCGAACCAAGCTAGACAAAAAAAATGCTAATGTCGATTGTAGGGCTCACGAGTCTACTACGTGCGCGAATCCATAGCCAATCTCGCCACGAGCGTCGCGCGCGACAACCTGCTCTCTCTCGGCATCTGTCTTGGAAAATTCACAAAGACGGGCAAGTTCCGGCTGCACATTACGGCGTTGAGCGTCATCGCGCCGCACGCTCGCTACAAGGTGTGGGTGAAGCAGAACGGCGAGATGCCGTTTCTGTACGGCGGCAACGTGCTCAAGGCGCACGTGGGCCGATGGAGTGAGGATTGCCCGGAGCACCAGGGTGTCGTGGTGCTGAGTATGAACGACACGCCATTGGTAAGCGAGGGCAGGCCGTGCTGCCATGGTATGCTCCCGTAACTAACGAGTTTTTGTAGGGCTTCGGCGTGAGTGCGAGATCTACGGCTGATGCGCGCAAGTTGGATCCTACGGGTATTGTCACGTTCAGGCAAGCGGATATTGGCGAGTACCTGAGAGAGGAAGATTCGCTGTTTACGACTTGAGTCATGGAGGGGCAGGGCGGTGACTATTATACTCTAGGAAAGTGGACTTGAAGTGGTGTAGTAAGCCAGATGGAAAACAAGCGCGCAACAAGGTATATACGCATATGCGAAAAGGATACGCTATCCAGCGCGAGGCAGCAGCGAGCAAGTACGCCAACAACGAGATGGCTTGCTGTAAGAAGAACTCCAGAGCAACGAATAAGATACCCAAGTCCTTCCGTCACAGCATACAGCGATTCTTGACCAGTCACCATGATGCAGGCAAGCCATTCATCTTCACACCCAAAACCATGTGCACACGGGCATTATCTGCTTCTATGAAAAAACGTCTTGATTCGTACGTCTTGACACCGGACTTGCTCTTGCTTGTCCGGTAATGATTCTGATATACATGTGGGTGTTTAAGCAGCCGCGCATTCGGCGAGGGTATCGGTTTCTGACCTTATTCTTCTGGCATGGAAAGAAGAAATTGCCCATAAAAAAGAAAAGAAAAACAAAGGCTGCAGTCTGTTGTTGTACAGTTTCCCACCATGGCTCTGCAAGTGGCAGAGCCCGCCAAATGCTGGTAATCTAATCATCCCAGTTTCTCAAGCAGCTTCCTCCGTCGACGCTCAACGAGCTCGTTGTTGACCTCTTCAAGCGTGGGCACCCGCCATCGTATACCGTCACCAGCGTCGCCTGGTAGTTCGATCCATTCTTTCTGTGTCTTGCTCGCTTTCTCGCTCAGGTCGTCGCCCAGCAACAGGAAGTTGTCCCAGGCCTCTCGCTCCTTTGCTTTTTCGTATGCTAGGAGCGTGCCGTCTTCCTCATCCAGGTTATAGCCATAGTAGCCTGCGTCCACCTTTTGCCGAAGCTCGCTCCTCTTTTCACGGCCCTTGTCCATGTCGTCCTCCGGGCGACTTTGCCTTTCGAATAGCTCCTTGACGCCTGGTAGCTCTTTGGCTCGCCCGAAATACCTGTAGCCCTTGCCGCCTCCAGGCACTTCGCGCCCTTCCTCATCAAGCACCCTGCCGCCTCGCATGTAATTGGGCCCGCCCAGGCCCCTGATCTGGCTCTCCCACATGTGCTTCTCCCTCATGAGCTTGTTGATCTCGTCGTTGAGATCGCGAATCTGGTAGTCTGAAAGAGCCTCGTCCTGGATTTTCGTGACCTTGCGCGAAATCTCCTTGAGGACCTGGCCGCGCCATTTCTCGCAGACGGGGATCGAGGTGACCGATGTGATGAGCTTGGGGCGGCGGGTGCGCGAAATGTCAATGATGCCTGCTTCGGCCGCCTGGGCAGCGCGGAAGCGGAAGAGCATCGAGTGCGCCTTTTCCGAGTTGCGCGCCATGGTTGCGGATGTGTCGTGTCGTGGGTGCTAGCAGCTCTGGCGGGGGGGTTTGCTGTCGTCTTGTCGTGTGGCGAAAGCGTGTCGTGTGCTTTTGTCGCGCTTGGGCGTGTTTACGCAGGTGCTATTAGGCGTCGGTTGCCGAGCTCAAAAGTCTATTATAGGTATACAGGTAGCTGCCCGCAGTTGCCGAAATGAAGGTTGGTCAAGGAAACGGGGTGCGCGATTAGGTTCGTGGGTGTGAAGGAAGGGACAGACGGGCGAGCCTCGCGTCTGGACAAGGAGCGAAAGTTCGGTCGACGACTCCAGTTTAGCGGTGACGCAGATTCTTGGCACTCCACACCCCCCGGCGAGCCCGGCGACCAGCGCGATTCGGCGTGCATGAACGTGATGCGAGCATGCCCACTCGGTCGCCTAAGTAGCCTACATAAGTAGCGTCCCGCAGGGTCGAGGTCAGATGACGGCCTTGGGTGCATCCAGAATGAAGGAAAGAAGAAAAAAAAGGCCTCGTCGGAGATGCCTCCTGCAGGCTGCAAGACCCTGCTTCACCAGCATAAGACCAGCGCCATCACGAGTAGCACCGTGGGTTCCACTTTGCGTTCTGTCTTCATTTTTCCTACTACCACTCTGCTCAGCTGCAGTTGCAGTGCTTCTATCGCCAACTACAAACATTATCCAACAACGATATGTGCTGCCAAGTCCAACCCGCGCAAACTGACAACTCCAGAGTGAGGAGAGAGGGAGGGGTGGAGGGGTCAAGTTACAAACGATAAGGAAACGATGCTAGAGCAATGCAATCAACTCGCAGCCTGGTCTAGAGGAGAAGCGTTAGGTCGTCTCAGTGTATGGCTCCATCCCCATTCGAGCCTGCTGTGCAAATCAGACAGGCAATGCTTCACAGTCCAACGCCATGCCCGACGCTCCTGCAGGGAGCTCTCGGTCTTTATTTGCTGTTTGATGCGGATCCAAAGCGATGTGTAACGTCCAAAAGCCGCAAAACGGACAGAGATATACATAGGAAATTGGGAGCGGTTCCCGTGACAAATAGAAAATGCTAGGAAAGTAAAGAATGTCAGTCAGATCATGTGACGAGTTTGGTGTCGTCGAAACGAACACGTCTGCTAGTGCTGTAGGAAGGGTGCTAGGCAGGGAGGGGATGGAAGACTATGCACCAGCTCCGTAGTTTGCTGCCTCCATCTCCGTCTGGTGGCGAATTTGCTCGTTGCGCATCTCTGTGCGCGACTCCGTGCGAGATTCAGTGCGTGACTCGGCCCGAGACTGGGCGCGCGAGCTCATGGAACCAAACAGCGAAGGTCTGGAACTAGACTGCTTGACGTATCGGCCTCTAATCGAATGCTGATGGAGGTGTCCAACGTCGTGTTTGCCTTTGCACATGTTAGCTCATGAGTCATCATCACCCTCAACAGAGACAACTCACCATCACAGCACGCTCGAACATTGGGCATGAAGTCTTGATCATGCTCCACATGCTCGTGAATATCGCGGCTGAGCTCCAAATTCGACAGGCTAGGTTCGTGATACGTCGTCGCTTCTGGCGCGCTGTTCTTGCTGCTTCGACGGCTGGAGAAGGATCCTCGCATAGCAGTGGCACTCGGCCGAAGCATGCTGCTGAACCGGTTCGCAACAGACCCATGGGCTGGTGGCTCGGTTGAGACGGCGCGTTGCGGCGTCACGGCGGACTGTCGGATCGTTGGCATCTGGGTGCGGTCGCGAGACGATGCGCGCCCAGTAGCATACGACATCACTGAAGCTCTCGATCGACCTGTTTGGCGTGAAGAGCTTCGATACCCACCATTGAATTCGTCTTGAATTTCATCCGCAATTGTAGATTTCTGCTCCGACGTTGGTGAAGACTTTTCATCGCCTTCATCAACTCGCTGGCACAGATAGTTCAAGGCATTGAACCATGTCTCGTGCCTCTGACCAGTAGTCGCAGTAAACTTCATTGCTCGTCCGGGAGTGATGACGAGCAGACTCTTTTGATGGAGTCCAGGGGGAAGGGGATTGGGGTCATCGACTTCTTGTACAGATTCAATAGCAACACTCTTGGCTTTCAACGTCGTTTTGTCGGCACTCTGAGGGTCTCGGTCGCTCCAGTACAATGTTCTTGTGTAGGGATGAATCCAGAAAAAGCGTCGATGACGGTTATCCGAGAATTCCTCACGACCAGTCTTGCGGGTGTACTTCCACAGGTATTCGCCAATCATCGTTTGGGTGATGGCTTGAATCATACGTGGATCCGTAGCACCACCAGCTATTCCATTTGCAGCAAAGGATGGCCCTCCGGGTATGTTGAAGCGTTGATCAATCTCCGAAGTGAATGACGACAGCGATGACCTATGGCTAAGAGGCGAAGACGCTCCGCTGCGCTGCGATTGGCGACGCACACGTGGAGTAGTACCACCTGTCATAGTAGGAGTAAGGTTGCTGTTGCTTGTCCTAATGGTTGGCGTCTGCGGCCGCTTCTTATAGGCCGATGCTGGCAGTGAAGGTGGTCCCATTGATCCAGGAGACATGGGCCTGAGAGACGCCGCGGCAATGACTTCTCGGTGATCCGATGGCAGTGGGGGAGGTGTTTCCAAGCGTGAACGCACGCTTCCAGAGCTGCCAGGACGTTTCGGAGTGCGGAGAGAGTCAGCTGCATGCTTCCTAGGCGATCCAGTCGATGCGATGCTCTTTTCCGATACAGCTCCAGTCGCCATGCCGTTCAATAGCTGACTTCGAGCCAGCAGTAGCTTGTCGATTTGTTCAGCGGATACCATGGTCTGAGTGCCTCCATCAGTCATCTGCGTTTGGCTCGCCTTGACTGACTTGTTAGCGCTTATAGGCATGAGAGGAACACGTGCATCTCTGCTATCAGCTGACAAAGCTGCAGTGTCAGTTGAGGAATCTTTGGTCAGGCTTGAAACGGCATCAAAATAGCTGATCGTGGGCACTGGTGGCTGCTTGTCCTGCATCGTCTCTGTTTGGGTAGTGCTCGTAGTAGTAGTTGTTGTTGCAAAGGGCTCTGTGCCTCTATGTGCAGTCACGGGTCTTGATGGCACAAAAGGTTCAATGCCTTGAGTGGCAACAGGTGATAAACTCATGACGGGAGGATCCACCCTGCTTGCTGTAGATGGTCGACTCATGTTAGCCAGGACAAAGGTTGGAGGCGATGGCGATTCAGGTTGGGTGTCGTGAATTGTCTCTACGTTAGAGACGTCAAGTATAGGTCCAGAGATAGTAGCTGGTGAAACGGGTTCTGTCTGGACTGCGTTGACAAATGACAGTTCTGATGGCAGGGGCTGTGCTGGCTTTACTGGGTTTGTGCTCAGAGACTCCACGCCTGAAAGACCCATAGAAGCCGGTGTCTGTGGCGCGACCGGCTTGGTTGTCGTTGAGGATAGCACAGAGAAAGATGGCAGTGCTGGCATCGAAGGCTCCCTCGGATGGGATATTTGGAAGGAGAGTGTCGATAGTTGGTGCGACGCGGGTTTAGGAGTCTCAACCGGATCGATAGACTGAGCTGAAAAGCTCGACAGCTGCATATGCGGTAGTCGTGGTGCGACGGGCGCAGTAGCAACATGTGAAGAGAGCTCAGAGAACTGCTGTCTCTCTCGGATCGGTGCTTGTGGCTCTATAGCTTCAGTCGACGTTATCGAAACTGTCGAAGCAGGTGCTTGGGATGCATCCCTAGGCTCAATTCCGTGAGACGCTAGGGTCGACATCTGTAATGATGTCTGTTTGTGCAGCACTTCTCTTGGCTCGGTTGCGTGGGCGGCCACCTTTGACATTTGCAGCAGTGGTCGTTGTTCCTGTGCTTGAGGAACTTCCCGAGACAGTGCCGAGACGGCCTCTTCAGATGTCGATGCGGGACTGGAGACATCGACGGCTGACTCAATCTTTTCTATTGGCTCTATCGATTGAGTTGAGATAGAAGACCTCAGCAGCTGTATTGACACGAGGGGCTTCGGTGCATCGACTTCCTTTGGTTCAGTCGCTTGGTGCGAGATGGACGAAACGTCCAGCGAAGGGGTGATCGGCTCTGGCACTTCTGGCAAGACAGGTTCAGTGCCCTGAGATGAGAAGTCTGACAGCCCAAGAGGCTGTGGACTAGCATGCCGAGGCTCTGTTGCATGGGTGGACACCGATGACATATACAAAGGCGTAACAGGCACGGCACGCGGCACGGTGTCCAGGGAATGCAAAGAGGAAAAGGTTGACAACGGCACCAAGGGAACTTGTGGCTGAGTGGCATGGGCGGACACGGAGGACACGGCCAGCTGAGGTATCCGTGGGGCACGAGGATCGGTTGCGTTTCCAGAAACACTCGAGAGACCAAGTGTCGGTGGTGACACCTGCTTGGGCTCAGTGCCCTGCGAAGAGATGGAGGATACTCGAAGATCTGGACGGAGTGGCGCTTGCGGGTTCGTGTCTTGTGAGTGCAAAGAAGAAAACTCCAAGACCGGCAGGCGTATGGCTTGGGGTTGGGTGTCCTGAGTAGCAATTGAAGAGAAGGCAATAGGTTCCGGGACATCTGGCTCAGTCATGGTGCCTGAGTCGACCATTAGAGGCATGGGCACAGCGGTAATGGTCTTCCTCAGTGCATCTGGTGATGAATAACGTGAGTGAATTACACTGGATCGGCTTGGCGTGCCCTCAACAGTACCTTCGACAGAGCTGGCGTCGTCGTCATCCGCACTCAAATCGTTCAGCTCGGCAAAGAGGCTCTTGCCTTGTGACGGCGTGTTCTCATTGCTACTGCTGATGTAGCTGGCGGGAGAATCCCGGGATGTCGGCGGTGTTCCAGCAAACAGATTTGAGGCACCTCTAGATTTTGATCTACGGGAGCTGGGTGCCCTCAACCGAAGACGCGAATGCTGATGGTGAAGAGGCGTCCTCACATCGGCTTCACTGTAATCGGCATCAGAGGCAGACGCTGTGCTCTCATAGGAAGCAGCACGGCCCCGGCTTGAAAATGAGGGTCGGCTATGACGAGCGCTCAGCTTGGAAGGCCCAGCCTCAGTCTCTGTTAGCTGATCACTGCTGTCCCCGTCAAGGGTCTCAGCTCCTGTCTGGAAAGCCTCAGATTCAGTTGCTATGCCGTCTGGCTCATTTGCAGTCTCGAAAGCAGCATCCGAAGTTTCGTTGGCCGTCTCAAAGCCATCTTGTCCACTTGTTTCGGCAGCAGAATAGTGTCCGGTAACGAAGATTCGAGAAGTAGAGTGGGAGAGGTGCGGCTGTTTGCTTGGTGTAACGGGCATACCCTCCTCCTCTTCCCACTCGTCATCCTCGATAATCTCCTGTGTGCCGCTGCGCAGGGCTCCCAGACGATCTGGCCGAGGGGGCTTCTTGAAAAGGTCCTTCTCGCTCCTCCTTCGCTTGCTAGCACTGCCAGGTCCAACCTGAGCGCGGGCGGTGTCCAATTCGTCACGGGTATCTTGTAGCACTCTCTTGAGCTCAATCTTTTCAGTCTTTTCACGGTGAATGTTGTTCTTGAGCTGTTGGATCATACGGTGGGCATGCTGAAGTGAGTGCTTCAGCGTCTCGGTTTCTAGCATACCGTGACGAGGAGTAGCCTTGCTTGGCGAGGGTGCAGGCGAGTGCTCAGGGGTTCCTCCTGTGTGTCTTTCCATAATGCCATCGTCTGCGGATGAATCTTCAGAGCGGCCACGCTCCTCGGACCTTGCACGCCAAGCAATCGCCTGTGCCAGCTGCTGGTTCTTGGATGTGAGTTCCTCCACTTTGCGCTGCATTGCACCTTTCTCAGTCTCGGTCATGGCCACGTTGCGACGAAGAATGGAGAGCTCGGACTCGTGCTGCTTCATTTTGTTGATGTGGTCGTCGTTGAGCTTGGTGTACATTTGCTTCAACTCCTCCAATTCCCTTTCCAGCGTCGTCCTTTCTGTGCGTGCAAGGTTCAAGGCATGGTTAAGGCGCTGCTCCTTGTCCGCCGCGGACTTTGACTGGAACTCCGATTCGCGAATTTGGGTTTCGAGGTTCCAGTTGACGTCCTTTAGGCGTGACTCGCTTTCATCCAAGGTTCGCAGGCGTTGTGACAGGCCTTCGACCTCGATCTCGAGCTGCGACCTGTCAAGATCGGCTGCCTTGAGAGCCTCATCCTTCTCAAGTAGGACAGCCTGGAGGTCCTTGAGCTGAGAGAGCAAAGACGTGGAGATCTCGGTTGCCAGTGCAATGTCGTTGATACGGCTGGGCTGTTGGTTCCTCTGCTTTCGCGATGGGACGCTCACTTTCGTGGGCGACTGGAAAGCTTCGCTGGAGTAGACTGAGCCACCGCCTGGGACGTCGGTCTCTCCGCTGGGAACGCGAGACTTGGGGAGAAAGGCGCGAGCCGTCTCCCGCCCCACCTCGTTGAACTCCTTCTCCAGCTCGGCCAGCCTCTGGCGCAGATCTTCTCCGATCTCATTCTCCTCCTGCTGCTGCTCCACTTCCTGCAACTTGTCCTCGAGCTCCTTGCGCTGCTGGACGAGGGCGCTGCCCAGGTGCGACGTCTCCTGCAGCCTGCGTGTTGTCTCTGCCAAGTGTGCTTCAAGGGCGCGCTTGGCCTGGGCAGGCGATCCGTTCAGATACAGGGAGAATTGCGAGTTGTCAAAGGCCGAGTATCGCTGCCTGTGGGCATCCTGCGGGGGCACGAGAAACGGGTCGGAGCCATTGGGGTGGTCCACCGGCGAGGCGCCTGGCGGAGGGTTTGCTGCAGCCATCAGTAGTCAGGGAAGGCGGTGTCCTCTCGTCGCATCGCCCGGGGGGGAAGGTCGGGTGTGGCGACGCGTGTCGGGTGGCTTGTTTGGTGTGGAGGTCGGACAGCGGGAGGGTTTGGGACAAAAGTATTATTAAGGAGCGGGCGAAGAAGCGCGAATGCGGCGACGCGAGGTGGCGGCGGCGGGAGGAGTCGTCGCGGTATTAGGGACAAGAGCGATTGGGCGGTCCACTCTGTCAAGGCGAGGCCGGAATGCACAAAGGGTTTGGACGAAAGCGACGCGCACAAAGCCAGCGAGGACACGGCAGTGGCAGCTGGCAGAGGGTCGCGTTTCGGTCACACTATAGAAAAGAAGCAAAGACGCATCACTTAAGAAGCGGCTGTGAAGAGCAACGAAAAAAAGAAAGAAGGGAATGCCGAACGGGCTGGAGGAGGCGACGGAGGCGACGGAGGCGACAGAGGCGACAGAGGAGTGAGGTCCAGCAGCGGCGGATGATGTGGTGCAGAAGAGCGAAATGAGGCGGCCGTGCGCCTTCAAGGCTATCGCGAACAAGGCAGCGCTGCGCTGAGTCGACGGCATCAACAAAGCAAAGCGGCCCCGGACCCAGGACAAGACCCCACCTCTGCTCCGCCCCGGCGCCGCTGCATACATGTACACCCACTCACCTGCACCTGTACATCGATGCTGCACACACACACATGCAGGCGCACATGGGCGGGACCCCTCACCACTGCTAGCCCAGCCCAGGGGGGGTTGCGCTGCGGATGCGCCATTGGGTCAGCTGCATGGCTGCATCGAGGGGCGCTGCAGCTCGACTCGACGACGACCACATCGTCGCCCTGCGTAGGGGTGCCGTGGCAGCGGAATAGGGGTTTGCTGAGCCTGTGCATGCGCAGCACCGGACGGCCGTCGTGTGCGTGCGTGCGTGCGCGCGCGTGTGGGTGTATTATATGTCTTTAGTGGTGTGTCGGCGTGCACTTGCAGGCTGCCTCTTCGCCCACAAAGCCCGCCTCGCGATCAGCGTCCCTTTGTGCCCTTCGAGCCTAGCAGAGAGCCTCCGAGGCTTCTTTTGTCCAGCCTCAGTGCGCCCGCCATCCGGGGCTCCCCAAGGCGAGCCAAAGCAGCCCGAGCATCATCATCCGGGTGCGTGGCGAGGACATGTGAAATGCCTGCTGCCACGCCCGCCGTCCCCCCCGATCGCCGGTGCAGTTTGTCCATGTACGTACGTGTACGCAAGTGTAAGTATGGACATGCCATGTGATCTGCGCCACTACCCCGGATATCGTCACGTGATGCTGCGTTTCTCAGCCACAGCGGCGTGGCTCCAACTTTTGCTGCCCACGCCTTGCGCGCCTCCCTCGCCCCCCTCCCTCACCCACCCTTTTCTCCGCCACCATGGACACGCCCGTCGTCAAGTTCAAGAAACGCGGTGCCAAAGCCGCGCCCCGAAAAGCCGCTCCTCCACCGCCGCAGTCCGATTCCGACTTCTCGTCGGGCGAAGACGCCGAGGGCGAAGACGGCCGCGTAGTCAAGCGGCGAAAGACCAACGCCAACGCGCTCAAAGCCTCGACCGCCGACCGCAAGACCAATGCAACCGTAGAGGGCACCACGCAATACGCCGCCAACACGGATGCGGTAATTGAAGCCAGCAACGACGCGACCAAGCAGTCCAACTGGTACGACGAAAAGGCCGAGGATGCGCTCAGCTCCAAGAACCTCCTGGGCAGCACGCGATCGAAACCCCAGTCGTTTATCGACAAGAACCCCGATGCGCCGACTCGCCAAGTCGGGCCCATGAAGGCGTCCACCAACATTCGAACCATCACCGTCACAGACTACACGCCAGACGTGTGCAAGGATTACAAGCAGACAGGCTTCTGTGGCTTTGGCGACAACTGCAAATTCCTGCACGCCCGCGAAGACTATGCAGCGGGCTGGAAGCTGGATCGGGAGTGGGAAATGTCCACCAAAGGCAAGAAGCCCGGGGGCACCATTGTCGCGTCTGCGAACAGGGACGAAAAGGACAAGGACGAAGACGGCATTGACCTTGCGCTTCTGGAAAAAATACCCTTTGCCTGCATCATCTGCAAGAAGCCATACAAGAGCCCTGTTGTGACCAAGTGTGGACACTATTTCTGCGAGGCGTGTGCTCTGAAGCGATACCGAAAGGACCCTACGTGCGCGGCTTGCAGTGCAAAGACATATGGCGTCTTCAATGGTGCTAAAAACCTGCAAAAGTTGTTGGAGAAGAAGCAGAAGTGGGAAGACAAGAAGAAGGCCGAGGCGGAAGAGAAGGCCAAGGAGGAGGAAGGCGGCGAATGAGCAATTGGTGCATGCCTACCAGGCAGAAGAATGCGGCATGGCAAGAGTAAGCTGCGACACAGCGTGATGAGGTTGACTTGAGCCCCGGCTTGCCCTGCTAGTGGTGCATCTGAGATGTCACACGACAAAATCCGTGGCGCGCCACGACTGTGCATTTGCTCCACGGCAGCGAATCAAGCACGGCGGGCGACGTTGTGCTCAGCTCGCCGGTCGTGAGCATGTCATGATTTGAAGGCATTCCTTTTGCAGCAAAAGGGCTGAGTAACACCGGCCAGGCGAGACGGAGCGGTAGACGCGAGGAGAGGGAGAGGACGAAAGAGCACGATTGCCGATATATCCAGTATCTATGATGCAGAGACATGAATATGAAGCGGGCTCAACAACTGAGAGACGCGTAGCTATGCCCTTTGCAGGCTGAACACCTGTTCCCAACAAGTGCGCCTGTGTCCAATCATAGCAGCGTCTTCTCCGTGCTCCCCGCACTTGGACTTGCATGCTTGGAGCAGCCAGGCCATGATGGTTCATGGCAGACGTGGACGTGTGTGGGCCGGGCCTGGACATTGGACCGCTGTCCCCCAGGGCGGCGGCGGCGGCGGGACGGCAATGGCAATGGCAGTGGCCGAGTGGCCGAGTGGCCGAGTGGCCGAGTGGCAGAGGGGCAGAGGGGCAGAGGCGGGCGGGCGGGCGAGCGGGCTGCAAAAAGGTCGCTCTGTGCCGCCGTGATATTATGAGGGGCTCCCCGTTGCAATGTGCAGCGCCTGCTATTCACACTAACGAAGACATGCCAGGCCATTATCCACCGCGCGCCTTCCCCCTTGCGAGCGATGGTGCGGCGGGGCGGGGCAGGCAGGCAGGCAGGCAGGCAGGCAGGCAGAGCTCAGGCGATCGCTTCTAGAAGGACGCTCACCTCCAACTCGCCTGCGCCCATCAACAACACGCGTGCAACGTGAACGCGTCGTATAGCATTGGCATGCCATGGCACCGCACACGCACACGCACACGCACACGCACACGCACAAGCTCCCTCGCCAGGACAGGAATCGGGCGTCTTCGCTTCCCGTCGCCAGTGCATGGCTTTCCCCATGCGGCCATGCACCCACCCCAAGCTCGCCCATCTACACCTAATGTACAGTACACCGATCACTCTCGGCCCTACTACTGGCCGGCCCTGCCAGTCTGGATCCATGGACCGCGCCCGCTGCCATCATCATGCAGTCGACCCGACCTGCGATACGAGCGAATCGCCCAGCCATGGCCATTGGTTTCGACCGCCACGGCCCTTTGGTTGAGTCGCCTCGTACATGTAATACATGTATTATCTATGCACAAGGCCGGCCAGGCAACAGGGGCCCAATCCACGGCAACAACCAGACGACCAGGCAGGCCGAGGGTACCGTATAGCCGTTGCGTCCTGTGACTGCTGGGCCCGGCCAATCGCCGCCCGGCGAATGCGTCACTCGCCCGACGCTGGGTATGCGCTTCGGTCCAGCAATATGGCGGCCATGAGCACAACTAACGCGGCCCCAGGTGCACACTGTCCGCCGTCGCCCAATACCACTCCATCCAGGCCGCACCGCCTGCACAGCGCACCCGCCCCAGCGCGGAATCAGCCGGCCGATCAGAAGACGCCCTCGTCCAGCCCAGTCCATGCTTCTCCAACCCGACCCGACCCTGGCCGAGGTCCCAGGCTTCACAAAAGAGCAATTGGACGCCTTGGCCCGCAGCGTCGAGCTCAGGCGCCACCAGCTCGAGACGGACATCGCCAGCTACATCCGCTGCAAGCAGGACGAGCTGCGCAACTATGGCCACCAGGTACGCCTCCCCCCAGCACCGCCAGCGACCCGCCAAGTATTGCTGCCGTTCCACGTTTGCTCGAGTGCCGTCGGGGACTGATTTTGGCCTAGCTCATAGACCAATACCGTTCAACCCAATGCCCTCAGCAGCTAGCTTCTGACCGCAAGTCGCCTGCGAGTAATGCGGACGACGCCGTAAAGGCGCCCGAGCCCGACGACAGGATCAAGCAGAAGAAGCATACAAAGGTGCACAAGCGCGAGCAGGAGCTCTACGGCCTCGTCACCCCCGTCTTCCTGCCACTGCTCGACGCACGCGACAGCTCCCCCGACAAGAGGAGGACCCCCAAGCCACCCACCCCGTACGGCGCAAACGACGCGGCAGACTCCCCGCCCGCAAGACCCTCGAGAGATGCTGAGCAGACCAAGGCCCGGAAGCAGAGGAAGGACAACAAGGACTTGGAGAGCCCAGCTCCGGGGGCGCTGGCCAAGGACAAGCAGTCTGGCGAAGCACCCAAGAAGATGAAGCGCTCCACCATGAAGAAGTCGGCCCTGCGCCACAAGGACAAGCCGCGCACACCGCGAAAGAGAGTCAGTCTGGTCATTGACGGCCAGACGGTCCATCCGTCCGACACGGTCGACGAGCCCCTGCTCACGTCACCCAGCAGCGAAACAACGTCTGCCTCCAATTCCATTGCCTCGCTCGACGACATGATTGATCCGCGCCTTACCACTTCGGACCCGCCACTCTTTCTCGAGCACCGAAACGACATACATCACAGCCTTCCTCTTCCCATGGCCAACGCCATCCAGTCAGCCTCCAAGGCCTATTCCGAGTCGCACACGCCCACGCCCGTGTCCATTGCAACCGATCACTCGCCCCCCCTGCACTCGCCCCGTTCTCCAAGCATACCCTCTAAACCCACACAACCCCCAATGCGCACATTCCTCGACCCCTCGCCCATCCAACAGTCGCACTCGATCCCCGAAACCGCTGGTCCAGACCCCATCTACTCCATTTCCCCAGTCACTACCACGGAACTCGAGAGCGACAGCCTTGCAGAAGAAGAGCAAGATTTTGATACCTATGTAGGCGGTCTGCATGGCTCGGGTGTGGCCGATGTGGATCAAGCAGGCAGCTATGGATATCCGAGCAGCCTGGGCGCAAGCTACATGGAAAGTTACATGCAGAATCGCCCGTTGCGCGTTCGCATGGAGGCTGCGACCAAAGCCGGGTTGAGCGAGGCGGAGAAGAGGAGATTACTGGAAGAGAGGGTAGAAGAGGAAGAAGACCATGTCCACGATGATGTTGACAACGACGAGGATGACTCGGATGATCTTTCGGACATTGACATGGATCACACACGCAAGAAGTCCAAGGATCTCGGCGAAGACCACTTCATGGGCGACATGGACGACTTTTGACATGTGACCCTGGCAAAACACGCTTCTTTTTCTTTTTTCTTTTTTTTGTGGTGTTTTGATTCGGGATAAAACAAACTATTATACAGTAGTCTGTATGTGTGTGTGTGATTCTTCTGCACTTGGATAAGGTAGGTTTCTGGTTGTTCTGTCTGTCTGTCTATCTGTCTATCTGTCTGTCTGTCTGTCTGTTTGTCTATTTTGTTTTTTTTGGCATCACGGCTCCCAACCCCCCCGGGAACATGAAGCCATCATCACCATGCCCATCATCATAGTTTTGGATATGCATCTCCGTGTGCAAGTTTGACAAGCACACACAAACTGCCCAGTTGCAACAGTATGTTTGTTGCTTCATCATAGGCGCATAGCTAACCTATCGAGAGAGTTTGTTCTCCCCTTTACCACATCTGATATTATCTACTAGGCTCGATTACTCTGTTTTTTTTATCATCATCATCATTATCATCATCACCATCATCATCGTCATGAATGATGGCGTGTATGTACATATGGGTGGGCTATTTGAATCTTTTTTCCTTTGTTTGTTTGTTTGTGCTAACAGGAGGAGTTGTATTCATTTGGATAATTAGAGTTTTTTTTTCTCTCTCTCTCTCACTTACTCCTTCTTACTCCCCATATCATACATATATATATATATATACGTATCAATAAATTATGCCAAGTCAACACACAAACAAAACAAAACAAGCAAGCAAGCACCTGTGAGTATTTATTCAAGATGGGAAACAAGAAACTGCAGATTCAACTTGACTTGCTGATTTCATTTTCTGTTTTATCATTGAAAGACTGACTACACATCGTATCTCATTCCAACACGCACACATATATATATATATATATATATATATATAATCGTTGCATTACGTTATTACCATACAACATCCATCAAGACAGCTCCCTTGATATTGAACAATTTTGCTTTTTTTCATTTTCATGTCCCATGTTGTTTTCTTTCAAGTTTCAGTCTCTCTTGCTGACCTGCTGCACGCGATTCACCACCCTATCCAGCAAACTCACCATCTCATCGCTGACAAACTGCGGATTGTCAATCTGGATGAAATGGCCACAGCGCACTGCGGTAATGGGCCCAATGGCCTTGCCTTCTTCAGTTATGTTGCACAGTTCCTCGTTGTAGCGGCGCCATGCAGGGTTGATATAAGTCATGCTGAGGGCTTTTGGCGTGTGGAGAATTCCAGTAGCTACATAGCAGATTTGGCTTGTTAGCTATTCATCCTTAGGGGGGGGGTTTCGCAAAACTAACCAGAGGAAACCAAAAAGTTCAAATCACGTACCTGATTGCTCGGCATACGTCTCCCAGTCGTGACCGACAACGGTCAAATAAGGGCCTCGTCCCAGATAACCCTCCAGCTTGGGCGCACCGGCATGGGGCAGCAAAGTGGGTAGGTTCCGCCTGGAAAGCCCCTCTTGGCTAGGTACATCCGGGTGAAACATTTCCCGGTACTTTCGCCTTGTCTCGCGCACCTCGTCCTCTGTCACGCTATCGGGCAGTGTGTGCGGATTAAAGTCTGGCGAATCCGGGTCCGGCCAAAAGTCCAGATAGTCTGAATTGGCCATTATGCTGTCGAGGAACAGCAGGCCAGAGACGGTGCCGGGGTAGCATTGCGCAAAAAGGCGGGCGAGGGCACAGCCGAAGCTGCTGCCGACAAAAATGAGACAGGGGTAGTGTGTCGGCCTGTTAATGTCGAGGTGTTCCCGCCATATTTGCAAGGTAAATTGCTTAAGTGCTTTCACGGCAGATATGGCATCATGGCCATGACACGGCGGAGGCTCTCGGTCATCGGGGTCTCGATCCGATTCGCCTTGGCCATATCGATCGTAGCTTAACAAGGAAGGATACGGTAGCCGTCCTGCTATTCTTTTTTCTAGAAAGCTGCGTATGGTGGCGTCCCACGAGCTCCTTACGCTCAGGATCCCGTTGAGGAAAACAATGAGCGTCTGGGAAAACGGGTTCGAGTGGCTGCCATTTGGATTCGAGGCAGGGTAATATGTGTAGTGGATCCGTGCACCTGGTTTGGTATCGAGGGCCATGGAAGAGATTTCTGGCTCTGGAAACGGCGGAAGGTCATCCTCCGAAGAGTCCAGGCTACCAGGAAAGGGTATAGGAAAAGTACGACTGTGAGTGGTTCTGTGTTTCCTCGCCGTTTTGACGGGGTCCGCCTGCGACAGGTTTGTTCCCGGCGAGTTGGCCTGACTCAACGAAGTGGCGCCAGCCATGGCGCTGTCATGTCTTTTTGCAGGAGCAGGCGCAGGAGCAGGCGCGGGCGCGGCATGCCTTTCTCTTTCTTGCTGTGTCAGACCAGAGTATTTCAGACGGGGTGGAATATACGGAAAGGCGTCCATGACTGATGCCAGCTGCCGCGGCCGGATAGTATTTCGCAATGAATTCACAGGTCTACCTAGTCCTCCTGATTGGGAAAGCGTGCGACATGCAAGCCAGGGAAGCGGAAGATATCGGAGGGCAAAGAGCTGTCAGAAGGAGAGACGAGCAGGGACGTCGGGGCTGGGGTTCGCAACCACTGGACGCGTTCTGGATCTTATTTTGAGTTTTGTATCTCCCAGCTGGAAACAACGGTTACCCCTCTTTGGCGCCCCGCGAGCGGAAAAAGATGGCAGGTTCTGGCTCTTCGGCCTGGGATGGCGAGCTGCCAATAGGGTCTCACGCAAAGGCTTTTTCCATGTCGCCAAGGGCTCGGAAGATATCGACTGGCGTGGTATCGGGCCAGCAAGGTCGCGGTCGGCCAGGCAGTGCTGGAGAGGAGGATGCTGCGAAGTTGGGCCGGGCGAGTCGGGCGCTCATGGCAGCCAAGATAGACCTCATGATGAGTGATGAACTCGTCGATCCCACCTGTCGGCAAGCCACACAAGACCTACCTGGGCGGCTTTGGGAGCGTGTGGCCGCCGATGCAGGCAGCGCGGCACAGCACCACACAGGACGAGCAAGCCACTGGGGGGCTGGGGGGGTTTAGCATGGGGGGTGGATGGATGGATGGATGGATGGATGAGATGGACAACGCCGCAGCCGCAGTCGTACTTAGTTGGTGGGCAGCGTCGCGCGCAGGGCCAGCCAGGCACCAACCGGCGATGACGTGCAACACATCGGGGGGACGTGGCTGATGCACGTCGCGATTCACCGCACCCACACACCCGTGGCTTGCTGTACTCGCGCTCCACTCGCTAATCACTCACTGCCAGTGCGTCTTTAACGAGAGCACGCTGGCCGTCAGCGTCTCTCTCTCTCTCTCCCTCCCTCCCTCTCCATTCCATCTCCCCTTCCCCCTCTCCCTCTCCCCCTCCCCTCCCTTATCTTTCCTGCTCTGCCAAACCAGCCAATACCGGGCATCCCAGCCATTGTGTGTGTCCGCGGCGTGCACTACTACAGCAGGTTGGTCAGCCGGCACTCTAGAAGAATCAGAAACAGCTAACCGCCTTCTAGCGTTTATGCGACCTCATCATGACATATGCCCATGCCGGAACCCAGACTGAGTGGGCAGGCCTCACCAAGATGGATCTTCGCCCAAACATCCTCTTCACTGCCCCCAACACAACCACCCCGCCAGCCGAAATGGTGCCAGACAAACAGCATCATCAACACCAACAACACAACATGGACAGCATTGCACTCCCCGCCCACCCCGGCCCCCTCGGTCTTCCTCACAGTGCCTCGTTTAGCCGCCTGCTCCAAAGGCGACCGAATCGCCCACAGCTCCCGACACGCATCTCTCTGCCCAACTCGGAGCTGGATGACGAGGTCTTCCCGTCCCCGCCGCCCACGCACGCCGTCCTCTCCCCGCTACCCGAAGCCAACAAACGCCATGCCGGCCACACGCCACTGATTCCTCGAGCCCTTTCCCCAGTCCACGACGAAGAGCCCGCCTTTGCCGAGGAGCCGCTGCCTGTCCTACGAGGCACGGGAGAGATCACTCCCCCAGCCGACGACGAGTCTCTAATCGGTCCGCTCATGCTGCCCACTAACCCCGTCGACGGTTCCAGCGACCACATCGCCCTCGACGTGCTCGACGACGTGCTCGAACAGGTGGCCAAGGACCAGGATCGCTTCAGCAAGCTCAAGGATGCTCCGGAACCCACAGCCGCCCCTGTGCCTGTGCCTGTGCCTGCGCCTGCACCTGCAGCCATTCAGAATCCCGACCAGGGCTTGACCCTAAGCCGAAACACATCGACCGACTCGCAAAGATCTTCGAGTACAGAAGTCGTCGACGGCGTTAGACTAAAGACTCCGCCGTTGAACTTTGGGGTTCCCATAGGCCAGGTCTAGCCAGCCGCTCTCGAGACAACCATCATGCGCAACGGCATTTGCATCGTGTTTTGTTTTCTTTTTCTCTCGGGTGGTTGCTTTTGCTGTTCGACATTAGATTGGGATTCTGGGGCGTTTGATTGAATGGAAATAAAAGAAGAAAAAACACTCGATAAGAACTTGGGAGGGGGGAGGCGAAAGGCAATACCCGGAGTTTCCCTGTGTCCGACAGAAAGGGCCACTGGTGACCAAAATCGCAGGCTATAGACTACCAGCCTAGCGGCATGTATAGAAGAGGCATTACGGAATCCAGAATACAACCAATCACTGTTTGAATGCATCTTGGTATACGCTTGGCTTTGACATCGCACTGGCACACCAAGAGGCTAGGACTCAAAACACATGCATTTAGTGCTTCAATGGCGTCTAGTCCCTGTCATTATACACGTTCTCTCATCCCACCACGTGTGCTTTAGTCATCCTGATCCCAGTTGCCCTGCTGCGCCTTTCCAGGCATCTTGGGTCCACCGGCTTGCTTGGCAACAATAATCTGATCGACGCTCAGCACTGTCCTGGCTGCCTCGGTCGCCAGCTTGATAGCCCACATCTTGCTGACCCACAGGTCCAGGATACCCTCCTGCTTCACGTCGAGCGTGCCTGTGTCGTCCTCGTTCTCAATGTCCACGCCAACCGTCCACTCGTCGTCTTTTCGGTTCTTCTGCGCAGCGTGCGCTACGTACAGCTTGGCGAGCACCTCGGTCGCGTCAAGCCCAGCTGATTCCGCGAGCGTGCGGGGGATAACCTCAAAAGCCTCGGCATACTTGCGGATCGAGTACTGTGCAAGACCCGGTGTCTTATCCGCAATGGCCTTGACCCGTTCGACCAACTGCATCTCGGTTGCTCCAGCTCCGGGTACCAGCCGGGCGTCGCGGGTAATAGCCTTGACCACATTGACTCCGTCGTCAATCGCGCGCTCGACGTCGTCAAGGTGGTTCTGAGTAGCGCCACGTAGCACCAGCGTGGCAGTCCGTGTCTGCTCGTTTTCTTGCCTGAAGACTGTGACTCGGTCACCGCCAATCTCTAGTGTCTCAACCACGTCGATGGTGCCCATCTCGTCAGGCATGGGAGCTCCCAGACGGGCAAGCGGTGTGGCGCCAACCACCCTGCATAGCCGTCGCAGCTCAAACTTGGAGAGAATCTTGATGACGAGAATGTTGTAGCGGTTGAGGTAGTGCATGGCCAGTTCGCCAATGGTCGATCCAGCAACCACCACCCTCAGACCAGAGTCGTGGAGCTCCTTGATGGCCTGCTCGACTTGCTGCTCCTCGCCCTTTGTGAAGTCCATCATTTCCTTTGCGTTGTGCAGCAGCACTGTGCCCTTGGTCTCCGTCTGCGAGATGTCGATTGGGCATGAGAAGACTCCGACCTTGGCCTTGGTTGCCTTTTGGACAGTGCCGTCTGGTTGCCTTGCGAAGACCATGCCCTTGACGACCTTGCTCTGCTCCAGAGCTCCACCCATGATCTTGACCACGCGGACATTGTCGACGTTGAAGTTTACGGGGTTCTTGGGAAGGACGGCGAGGACGGCTTCGGCGACGAGATTAGCGAGGAAGTCTTCGCTGCCAGACTGCTTGGCTGCGACAACGGTGCGGATGGCCTTGCTGAGTTGTTCCTGTGACCGGATGTCTTCAACCTTGTCGCATACGAGATCTGCCTTGAATCAGTTTTGCTTCCCTCAGCAACATCCAGTGAGTGTCACATACCCTCTAGTGTCTGTAGAGCTGCAAGTTGTGCCTTCTCGTAGCCCAAGACAATGTCGCTTGTCTTCAGACCCATCCTGATCAACTCCTCTGCTTTCTTCAGCAGCTCACCAGCCAAGATGATGACCAGGTTTGTGGCATCTCCCATCTCTGCCTCTTGCTGCTGGCTGGCCATGACAAGGAGCTTTGCGGCCGGGTGTACGACCTCGAGTTCGCGCAGTATCGTTGCCGCATCTGAGGTGAGGATCATCTTCTGGAGGTGGTTTATGACAATCTTGTTGCGGCCATAGGGTCCGAGAGACGTCTGAACGGTCTGGGCAATTGTCCGGCAGGCGTCGATGTTGCGAATGACAGCGCCATCTTCGGCGTCGTAGCTGTTGCGGGGTGGTTAGGTGCATGTTTATAGTGATTGCGGGGCTGTACCAAAGCATACTTTTGATAGCCTTGCTTGAAGAGGCCGGCATTAGGGGCGTTTGGTATCGAGAGAGACATGTCTGCGGTGTGTGAGGGGTATCTCGGTCGTGGTGGTTACCTGAACGTGAGCTCTGCGCGGCGAGAACGCGTCCAGTCCCAAATTTCGATGCCAAGACTTGGAGATCGGGGGAAGAAAAGACCGACATTTCACGACAAGACAGTGACAGCTTGGGGTTATGGCGATATGAAAGCCCAACCACATTTTGCTTTCTTGAGCTGCGAGTTTCGCATTCAGCAATGCACGCTGCCATTGCTTCGCTCTGGGCACGACAGGCAGCACTTCAGCAAACCACGCGCAGTGCTCACTTGGTGGCGACAATGGCTGGGAGAGAACCAGTTCATTTGTTCATATCCCAGCTGTTGAATACTCGTCGCGCATACATCACGTCTTCAGCGCATGCGGGAATGTGAGCAATGACTATCTAACTGTACCCTGAGGAGTTTGTAAAGGCACCGCTAGCGAATTAAGATTGCTCGACTTCTTCTGGGCACCATTAAAATGGCCAGCATCTCATGAAAGTGCGAGGATGCTGGAGATAAGGAGAAGTGCCGTGGAGAAGAAGCGGCGGTGCAGGGCGCGCTGGAAGAAAAGTTGTTCGCAATGTCTGCTTAGGTAATGCCGAGCTAGGCCCAAAGCACTTCCGCTCCCCGAACTTTTCTAATGTCTGGAGATGGCTGCGGCAGCATCGTCATACGGCCCAGGCCTGCGGGAGATATGAACGCCGGACAGCAAACAGCGAGGCGACTGGCCTCGGGAGCGGGTATGCATGGCAATTGGCATTGGCATTGGCATTGGCCGCCTTCTGAGTGCTGACGAACAAAGGTCCCGCAATATGTCGCTCATGTAGAGACACCATCACTCGCACTTACGCATCCGCCGCCGCTGCAGCCGTCCAGAGCGAAGACCAAGCGTCTCAGCATATTCCCCCGGTCGCCCAAGCCTTGCCTTCAACCTCATATGCCGTCAATGCTGGTGTGGTTCTGTCCCGCCCCCCGCAAATAACTCGCGACCTGCATCCATTCGAAGCCGCCTTCTTCCTATACCAAAAACGTCTCAATGAGCGACTCGCACTGCCCTTCACACGATACTTTTATGTCAAGAAGCGAACACCGGCCGATCTGGAATGGAAGCGGAAAATGAAGCAACGGCTGACCCCCGCCCGCGATATCGGACGGTACAAGGGTTACGGAGATGAGGCATGGAACGACGAGGTGCTTGTGGGCGCCCCAGAGAGTGGATTTGAGTACCAGGTTGGAAAACTGCTTGAAGACGCTGAGAACTCTGGCATGGAAGATGCACCAGGCGCCGTAGGCGCACAGAAAATGGAGCGCGAGCCAGTGGAAAGGCCAATGCCGAGAGTGACAGAAGCCGACAAGAAGAACGATACAAAGAGCCTGAACCGCGCACTACAAAGGACACTGTATCTTCTCGTAAAGAACAAAGAGGGGCAATGGCAGTTCCCACAGGACCGACTGAAAGATGAGCATCTGCATGGGGTATGGATTCCACCTCAGCTTAATAATGGAGGGGTACACTAACCAAATTCTAGGCCGCGCACCGTATTCTTACCAGCACCGGTGGCGTCAACATGAACACCTGGCTCGTCGGTCATGTGCCAATCGGCCACTACCAACTGGACTATCGCAACCCCCGACCTGTTGGAAATCTCCAAGAGTACGGCACAAAGACCTTCTTTATGAAGGCACGCATCATGGCTGGCCAAGTTGACCTGAAGGAAAACAAATTTGAACTCCAGGACTTCAAGTGGCTAGTCAAAGAGGAATTGCAAAAGGAGGTTGACGGCAGCTACTGGCGATCCATCAAGAACATGTTGGCCGAGCAGTGAGATTTCTTCATCTCCACAACAATGCACTGTACGATGGAGGCGGATGATATGTAGCATTATGTACAGTATTCAGAAATATTGGACAGCGACCCATGCAATTGATCCAGTCATGGCCAAATCAAGAAAACTCATCATAATTTCCAAAGGACTTTTGCAAAACAATACGAACTCGCTAGTCTCATAGTCTCCCAACTCGACCTGTAAAACCCTCTTCGTCTGCACTGGTATTCCCACACCTACACGCACTTTTCAAAATCATAGCTGAAACCCTGCTGCGCACCATAATACTGCACGCCCAGCTGCTCACTCTGCTCATACTCGCTCTGCACAATACCCGTCTGACCCTTGTTGCCCTGCACCCACAGCTCCGTGCGGAAAGTAAACGTACCGCTCCCGCAGTTGGGCTGAGGAATGAGTTGAGGCGGATAACTGATATTGGAGTAATGCTCCTGAGCATGCGGCCCAGACTGCAAGGGCCCGGTCAAATCAATGGTATCAGGGACCTACAAGTCCATCAGCCATATCTCTTATCACGCCGTCTTGTCTTGCTGTATCCCTCCCCTCCTCCTATTCAACACGAAGGTGAAATACACAATCTGAGAAGAGTCATGTGAAATAAAAACGAATGGAAAACAAAATATCACAAACCTCTTGTCTCGCACTGCCCTCGCCAATATAATACGCAAAATCCCAATACGCCTTAACCCCCTCATCCAGCTGATACGTGGCAATGCCCCTGGTGCCATTCTTATGCAGCCTGAGCCTATACGCCTCACCTCGCTCCTTCTTCTCCACATCCGCATACTCTGTATACGCCAGCGTCGTCTCGCACCAGGTATGGCGCGGCCCCGTGGCGAGGTTGACGCGCAGCCACGGGTACGCGATGAACCAGTAGTAGATTTCCGAGCCGTCGACCGTGTTAGAACCAAAGGTTGGGCGCGTCGTGCGGGACACAGTGCCGTTTTTACCCAAGTCTGGACACCCGGGGCCGAGCAGCGAGGTGATGGTGAAGGACCAGTTTGGGGGGAGGATGCGCAGGGGGGAGGGGGAGGGAGAGGGGAGCGCGAGGAGTGTGGTGGTTAGACCTGCGAGGGCGAGGGCTGTCGTGGTGTACTTCATTGTTAGCGGTGCTTTACGTTTGCTGTATGATCGAATTGCAGTTTCTGTTATTTGCTGGATATCGTCGTGTTCGGAGCGGCTCATCACGTCTTTATATGTACGTGTCGATGTATGTACCGTCTTTTCAAGACTGACGCAATATACAGAGATATCACACGCAATGTGTGCATCGTTTCTCTGATTTGCCAAGTGTTTTTATCCAGCATATTGCGCGTAGTCATGGGGATAATCGGTATATTGACCGTGGGGCCATGTTGGAGGGCATGGTGTTGCGAACATAGCACTACCAAGATCGAATCAGATGGAGATTTGTCGATGAGCGGGGAACCTTTTTCAGCAACAACCAAACGAGCATAAATGAAGCTAGACGACAATCATCCGGGCGTGTAACCACTGGCTATCTGCTGACGTATAGCTCTTACGCTGCCCGCAATCTCCACCGCAACTAGGCACAGTAGCCCCCCCTGCACACACGTAGCCCCCCGTTCTCGTTTAGGCGAGATTTCTATTCATCTAAGGTTAAACAGGAACGTGTGGGGAAGCCTGGGATCGGACATGTGCAGCGGCTTGGTAAAGTGCCGACGTTGTGCAGTGGCGGCTGTTGTTCGTCAGCAGCATGAAACATGGCGAATTGCGTGCTGACGATGAGGTAACGGATTCCGCATTCGTACAATGGGCTTTTGTTTAGCCTATAGTACTCGTTGAAGCTTGTTGTAATCTTACAGCAGTTCGTATCGACTCGGAAGGGGTTTGAGCGCAGGTGATAGAACTGATCCCCCTTTCACCAAGTCACTAGGAACAAGAGCTGATTTGTCTACTAGTAAATTGGTACTTTCGTCTCCGCATGCAAAGACATCCTGATGATGTTAGAGATATACACGCTGTGGAAATTCACAAATCTCGTGATTGGCAATGCATGTAATTGATACTTTACCCACAATTTATTTTCAAGCCATGCTGAACAAGTCATAATTCATACTGATGACTGGATTCTCAAAATCAAAGCTCAGAATGATGCCCATGCCTCTGTAACTCTAGAATATACATGTCAAATAGACAGCATCAAACGCAAAACGCTGGATTATGAAGCTGGTCTTCATGGCAATGAACCAGTCATGCGTTACATCATAAATGCATTTGATTATCTCTGTGAACAACCATCTTTAATCCGTGATTTCGACAGAAGCAATCCAAACAGTACATTGTAGCTTGGTAACGACAGACTTAATCACGAGTCAGTCCAGAGCCTTGCCATGGAGATCAAGACGGCGGTGACCTATCATATTTTAACAGAATAAGCGCCCAACTGTCATCTCAGCACAACAGGTATTCCCATTCATTAGAATGCCTGTCCATATTCAAAGCTCAGTCGTATTGCCTATCACCAGGGATCTTTAACCTCAAGAAACAGGGTCAATTGCTCATTGCCGTTTGGACAATCACCTGCATGGCCGTCAGGGACTATATTTGAGCGATCCCCCCGCACGGGGGTGAAGTAGATGGCTGTAGCCATTAGAAAGGCTCAAGAGCATCGCGATACGCCAAGGGAACTAGAATCCTCGCGCGCTGCTCTTGGTAGGTGCTCGATGCGAGACCACTAATCTCCCACACATCCTTTCTGTTCATGAAAGGCCAGGTCCATTATTATGAGCCTGAAGCGATAGATGGGCTGGCTCAACTCGTATTCCAAATCATATAACAAGGCCATTCGCTCGTGGAGACGAGCAGCATGCTGGAATCCCCACAAGACGTAATGCCTGTAGTATTTGAAATGCTTGATACAATTATCCGCTCTCGCCACCATTCCAGACATTGGTCAGATCGTCTAATATGGACATGGAAGGAAACTTGCTGAAGCTCAAGACCGGCCTGAGTATTTGGAGGATTTCCTCTTGCTTTTCTTTCGTCTCAGCACAGAGTGCGGCTGGATCCGTGTTAGTATACAGGTAATGTAAGTGGAGCGTGTTGTACGCACCTGCATATATAGCTTGGAAGCTTACGAAGGCCGAGGGGAGATTTTGTGATTGTTCAGCTATAGCAATGCCGCATATGGTTGATGTACTCTCATGAAGCAGTTTGAAGCGAGTCTGGTATGCGTTGAGACCACCTGTAGAAGGTTGGTTGAGCAGGACAATTATTCTCGCAAAATGGTAGGTTTGAATAGCAGCGGCATATGCAGGCGGGTGAATCCAAATGGGTTTGATATTACTTGGAACCAATGGGGAGGATGGTGAAGTCCCTTGAGGCGCAGAAGCGATAGGGATGGGGTCAAATGACGCTGGAAGAAGCTCCTTCCATGCATCAAGCATTCGCAAAAGAGTTTCCCCTGCTTCAATATATCCAGCAATGTCACCCTGTTTCGGTGTTGCAGCAAACTGCACGCATTTTGCAGCAATGTATACGACGCGTGTGGCTAGTCCTTCAGACGAAAGCTCTGCCATTGGAGTCTTTGGTTGGTGTATAGTCAGTGCCGGTCTCCCGGTCCAGAAGGCCGCCCATATATCTTGTCGTAGCCATGCCCACCACACTGCACGCTGTAATCCATTTTTAGATTCTCCACTTGTTCTCGAGTTACGCTGGATCCAAAAAGCTCCCCTTAGATGACGGTCCCAGTTGCTGTGGTCGGGATTTCCGACTGTTCCAAACATCTCGTACATGGAGATCATAATGGCAGTCGTCAAAATCTCATAGGAACCCGTATATGACTGATAAATCAAGTTTTTCGACAAATAATGCAGCGTTTCGTAGTGGAACTGCTCAGCAACCTTTCGTGTAGCTGTGTGGGCACCGGAACCAGATGCAGGCGTACCGGGCTGCACGTGTGCTGGCGCTTCATTGCCAATTTTCTGGTCTTGGAAGAGTGCCATGTGACATGCACCAACGGCCAAGATTGACTTGAGTAATCCTACATTGCGCAAGGCAAGATGCGGTACCACGTTAGCGAAGTGTTTGTCGGGGTCGAATAGATCCAATATAGGCGCTACGACGGCCACATAGTGTTCGAAGTAGATTATTTCTTCCTGCTTGAGCTCGATTGTTGTCTCGGTATTCCATGGCTGGGTCGGGATAGCCACTGACTGGACATTGACGGGACTGAAAAGGCCATCACCCGCTTCCAAAGCAACAGATTGGCGGGGAGACTGTCTTCTCGATAAAGTGGTGATGTCAAAGTCCCGGCGATTGTTCTGAGGTTGCCCTTGCATGCTGCTAATTGCGTCTTCTGCGAGCAAGTCGTACCTACTAGCTGTTAGTCTCTTAGCCGCCTAGGATAGACCAAAGTTACCATTCAACAGGACCGAAATTAGGTGTCAGACTATCCCCAAAAGTAAAAAGTCTATCGTCAAGAACGAACCCATCGTCAGGAATGATATTACCGGGAAGTACTGCGTGATCTGGGGGAAATGGTATCCACGATGGGACGTGGCCCACAGGCGCTGGGTTTAGTCCATTTCTTGTTATCGAAGCACTTGCCCCAGCCTCGCTGGTTGGTTGCACTGAGTCAGTGGCATTTGGTTCATCTTCCGGCCTGCGAGCACTCAAGGCGCGTGGTCGCCGAGGTGCAGAGGGTTTCTCAGCATAGATACACTCGCGATTGACTCTCTTGCAGTTTTGGCAGTCTGGTCGACCTTCGTCGCACTTTACCCGGCGCTTCCGACACGTCAGGCTACCAGGGGTTAGCGAATCTGATGAATCCACTACGCCGCAAGGTGTTCAAGGTGTTGATATTGATAGAGTCTTGCTCAGCCGCACACGAGAAGGGCCGTTGGCCCGTTTCTCAGCAGCGAAAGCATCTACAAAACATACCAGCCCGTAGAGGTTCTCAAGCCCCGTGACTTGGAAGGCATTTCTCTGGAAAGGCGCAGGAAGTGAAGAAGGGCTAATGTGCAAGGAGATCGTGTCGAGCCAGAGACATGCGGCTCGATGCGGGCGGCTGGTTCAAATACGATCTAAGTAGACGCGCGGAAGCTAACCGTAATCGCGTAGGCAAATCGGCAGAGATGCCTTTTGACCGCCTCGGACCAGCATGACTCGGTTTGTGGGGAAACGACACGGACTGCCAATGCAAGTGTGGTCAGCGTGGAGGATGTGCGGTCTTGTGAGGATGAGATCGACTGTTGTCCTGGCTGAGTCCCGTGCGGGTGACGTCAGCGCTACTCGCGACGAAATACTCGTATTTCTCCAAGGCACATCAACTACACAGCTGCATCGTCTCACCAAGAGGGAGGATTTGACTGAAGTTTTGGTATATATTAAAATAATAATTCAGCAATGCAGTTGTCCTCCTTGCGCTTCACACTCTACATGTGTTTCTAAAATAACAGGCTTTTCCCCGTTCCGGTACTGCACCGAGACATCTAGTATCCAATGGAATATATGCGATAATATACAAAGATAAGAATATATGACAACTTGTACTCAACTCCGATCATGGCCTGATATCAATGCGTTTATCCTCGCCATAGAGTGCCTGCTCTACCCCGGAAACCGCCCCCTCTTCCTCGTCCTCTAAAGCCACCCCTGCCACCTCTATATCCTTCACTCCACGGGCCACGATCCTCGCCGACTTCTACAATCCGATCCTCCTCATCAAAGCTGTACTTGTACTTCATCTCGCTTTTGATACCTCTTCCCTTTCTGACCTCATCCGGTGCCCAATCTCTGCTCGTCTCAGCGTCCAGCTCCTTCAACCTCAATTCGGAAATTTCATCGGAGACGGGGAGGTAGAACAGCTGCGGTTTTGCTTCAGTTGAGTCGAAGAGATCATGGAGTGTCTTGAAAGAGGCCTCGGTATCTTGGCGAGTATCTTTTGTTGGTGCTGACGGTTGCTGTTGGGCGGACGGGCGCCGCACATCATCACTACCGCGTGGGCCTCGTGGTGCGTTTGCTGGGGCGCTCGAACCAACCTCTTGAAATACTGCCGTGACCGAACCGTCACTACTCTCAGGATAAACAACTTCGAAGCGTTTTGGGTTTGCAGGCCGCCCGCTGGCACGGGCTTCTTTCTCCATTGCTACTGCATCTTCCTCTTCCTTGATCCAACTTTCGACACCCTCCTCGGGAATGAAATCCACCCATAATTCTTTCCTATTTCCTTCCGGTGGCCATATCGACCCATGTAATGATGCTCGTACCCGCGACGCGGCGGTTTTGGTGCTGAACAAGACAAGAGCATGGGTCTTCATTGCGTCCAAGAAAAGCGCTTTGACAATTGTGGAATCAGGCGAGCTGGAAGGTGGAGACGCAAGAGCGACCAAGTGTGCACGAAGCGGTTCCGGGCGTAGCGGGCGCATAAAGTTACGGATGTACAGAGCAGCCGTTACGGGGTGAAGTGCGGGCACTGTCGGTCTATCGTCGTTCAGCGCTTCGTGGAGTGTGTCATCTTCGCCAGACGGCACCAGATCTTTGTATCTGGCTGCTTTTTCCTTTCTTTCACGCCTGGCTTCGGGTTCAGCATGGTCGCCATTTGTCTCATCGTGCTTGGCATCTGCAACGTTCTCAACGTCTTCCTCTGGTCGCTGCTCCATGACTACATCTTCATCTTCTTTCAGATGAACCTCGGGCGCAGGATCTTGACTTGGTCGATGTCTTTTTGCGCTAATCTCCTGAGGTTTCATGTCGGGCGTCTCGCTGCGCCTCTTTCGTTTCTTAGAGTCGGCCTCCAGTTCTTCTGTGTTGAGTCTCGATGTCTCGGCTGACGACTGCTCAGGCACAGTCAGAGGTTCCGGCTTTTCTACTGATTGTTGTTCACTTGGTGTAGCCGAAGTCGGTTTCTCCTCCATTATGATGTCTTGCACATCACTGGGTGCTTCAGACTCGTGGTGTGCCAGCCGCAAGGCTTCAGCAGCCGGTCCGGGAGCGTCTGGTAGTTCATCGCTGGCAACCGATGCGTCGTTTTTGGTTTCAACTTCCGCGTCCGTCGGCTCAGTAACCGCTGGGCCCACTGCGTCATTCGCATCCGCAGGCGGCGCGTTGAAAACTTCTGCTGGCTGTATTGAACCCGGCTCATCAACGTTGGTGACCGCTTCTGCTGGCTGTTCAATCGCCTGGGTCTGATCTGGTGGTGGCACGTCGCTGTCTATGTGTGATACAGTCTCTGGTAAGGAGTCCGTCGTTGCTGCAGGCACAGGTACAGGCTCGGCATCAGGTTCGCGTTCGGGTTGCGCTTGAGGTTCTGTGACCAAGTCAGTCGCGCATTTCACATAACTATTGGGTATATGTATACCTCCGGCTTCTGCAAGCGCAGGCCCAGGTGCTTCCGCCTCCGAGGGGGCTTGTCGCGGGTCAGCTTCCCCAGCCTGTGCGACTGGCTCGGGCGGCGCACTGGAAGCTTGGACAGCGCCATCAGCCTCCTCAAGTTTCTCGATGATTTGCGCCTTTCGGGTCAAGCCCGTACTGGGTATGCCCCGGTCCTTGAGTATCTGCCGCAGCTGCGCGACCGTCTGTTTGTTGTAATCCGCCATCGTCGGGTCGGTGTATTCAATGGTGATGAGACTGGCAGGTTCGTGATCGCATAAGTGACGTGAAGTAGTTGGTTAAAAATACCGAGCGGAATACACGGTAAGGAAGAAGATGGAATTGCGATCAGGCTGGCCGCAAACGTCACAGTTCAAAGAGATTCGCGTGTCGCGCCGCGCTAGGGTCTTGGCATAACCTGCATGGACGCGCAATGACCCACCCCACCAAAAAACCTATTGCAAAAGATGAGGCTGTACAGCCACCCACAGTCGCTATTATCACGAGATTTCATGGTGTTGTAGTAATTATAGCATTGCGATCATGATAGGCTACTTGTATCTACTTGGTAGCTTGGTGGTGCGGCCGTGGCGGGTGGTCCGAGTTGGGACGGCTAGTGCAGCCACCTCAGCTTGTACATGAGATGAATCAACAACAACACGTTTCTGACGCTTCTGCTTTTGAGAGGAGCCTTGTGAGGCTTTGCGCTTACCCCTTTGGGATAATTGTATAGCTTTTTCAGCCTCCCGGGCTGCCTTTTGAGCCTCCTTTTGAGCCACCTTGGCGGCTCTCTCCTTCTCTCTCACCTCCTTGAGCCTCTCTCTCTCAACACGCTTCTCCTGGGCTATTTGAAGCTTGTACAATTGAGCTTGTCTCCTTAACTCAGATCTCTCAGCTTTCTGGAGTTGTAATTGCTGTTGTTCTTGTTGTCGTTCCATCTCATCCTCCTTGGCTTGGCGAACCTTCTTAGGAGACCAAAAGACAGCTCCTCCATGGTACTCCTCAGGCCTATTGAGTTGAAGCGTGTAGCTCTTCTTTTGGTGTCTCTTTTTGACCTTTAGAGCCTCCCTTAAGCCCTGGTTTTCTCCTTTGAGTATACTATTTTGAGCTG